TTCAAAACGCGGTAATTTTTATGTGTAGGTATACAATATCTTATATATAAAATTCTCGTGTCACAATGTTCGTTCCCGTACTCCTCCGAAACGGCTTGACCGATTCTCATGAAATTTTGTGTGCACATCGGGTAGGTCTGAGAATCGGCCAACATCTATTTTTCATACCCCTAAATGGTAAGGGTGACCCATCCCTAATTTTTTTTTGTTTTGCAATACAACGTTTGCTGGGTCAGCTAGTTTTTATATAAAACACATAAATGTTTTAATTCACCGAATATGAAAATAATTGAGCATATATGTCAGAGTGACTAAATACCTTTTGCATGACTAGGACTGCTGTACCTACTAAACACTAAATAGATAATAGTTTCTAATATAGAACACGTCATTTTAAAATTTATTTGTTTAAATAATAAGTTTTTTGCATAACTTAGAAATCTCACTAGCACACATTTGGCGTCCATTGAGATAGTTTACAGTGTAGGTACAAGTGTATGGTTCAGAATGCATCTTGGTTTTTCTTCACTGCCACAACGCATCGGGCGTTTTCTTAAAAACCATAACACGGATTTCGCGATTTGGAAATTTTACAGTAACTACAATGCGCTGTAAGCTGGTTTTAGTTCAACGAGAGTTTCCCGTCTGTAACATGTGTTACAGACGGGAAACTGGAAATCATTGGGAGAGGCCTATGTCCAGCAGTGGACAAGCATAGGCTGAGAAGAAGAACATGTGTTACACTCAAAGACGGGGATATGGTAGTATCTTATACTCGTATTTCCCTAAACTCAATTGTTAAAATTAGAATAAATTCGAAATAAATCACGTTGGCACGCAATAAACTATCGTTCGTGGTTTACTTTTCACCCCTACTAGGCAGTGTTGCCGACCTAGTGGATTGTTCGCTGGTGGTTTAGACCCCCTACTAGTGGCGAAATATTGCTTTTAGTGGCTAGTGGTAAAATTGTAGAGGACTTAGGAGATGATGTTTAAAGATGAACTATGAGAACTGTTTGTGTACGCAAACTTCAAGAGTCTTTAATAAAAAAGGAAATGGAGATTAGACGGGAGTGCTCAGGATTATTAATTTTAGGCGATGGGATGATGTAGACTTTATGATAGACAGAGGTTAAGGTTCCGAAGACGAGAGGGAAGTTAATAATGTAGGCTATAACTTCATGGACATAATCGAGGATAGTAACTATCATCCTACGGCTAACTTCATTACAAAAGGCTAACATGACTGCACAGATGGCGTAGTGGTTTAAGCGGTCGCCACGCTGCTTCCTACTACGCCGAGTGTTGTGGGTTCAAACCCCACATGGGACGACACTTTGTGTGATCCACAAATTGTTGTTCTGAGTCTGGGTGTTCTTTGTGTCCGTTTCATGTATGTTTGTAAAGTCCCCCACGACACAGGATATATTCATAATGCGTCTCTCGTTGTCGTTGTCTTTAAAAAAAGAAAAAGATCGCCTTTTTGTATGTTCTAACGCAGTGGGGAGTTCGAACGAACAAACAGGACGATCTGTTTTATGTCCCTGGAACACACCGGAGAAAATTCTAAATTGGCAATACTGGGTCTGGGCAGACTAAGGTGTGACTTTTGGTTTGATGATCCACTTGAGCAGCAGAAGATAAATAAAGATTGATATCATTCAAACCAATGGGCATTCGAAACTTAGTCTGTTGTTGTCTACCAATGCATGACGTGTTATGGAACTTCCTCGCGCTGGAAGAATTGCACTGTAAAAATTCCCAAGAGAATACAAGATTTCAAGAATTAACGACTTATGCTATTATTCTCTTAGTGCTACCTCATTCCAACACGGATTTTGAGAACGTATTTAGCAGTATGAATGTAATCAAAAACAAGCACAGAAATAGAATAAACTTCTGTTCTAAAATCTGCTATGTGAGAAGTAGTAAGAATACACTGTGGTTTGAGGCTGAAAGGAAAATGATGCAAGAAATATGAAATTGCAATTAAAGGTTGTAAAACAAATCGGTACCAAAGAATCGTATCAATCTGAACGATGATGGTGCAGACAAAACGATTTATCTGAAAAAGACGAATTTAATGAATTATTTTCATTAAATTCGTCTATAAAATCTTTTTAGAAAAAAGTTGAACCGACTTCAAACAATACTGATAAACAGCAAACGAAAATGTCATCAATGTATACAATTTTAAGATTTTTGTTAATTTTTTATTAACCACTCAACCAATTTCTATAAAATTTAAATGGGACCACTTGGGAAGTATATCCTTTAAAACAAAAAAAAAAATAATTTCCAAATCGGTTCAGCCATCTTCGAGTAATCAGTGAACATACTTACATAAAAAAAAGATTCCGAGGAATTGAGAACCTGATTTTTTGAAGTCGGTTAATAAGTTGCTTTTGTTACTGAATAATTTTATATGTTACTGATCTTAACTTTTTCATGTATTTGTATGTTGATTTTTTTAATGTCAGCATTAGTATTAATGAACATTAACTATATTGTTTTCTTTCGTAATAACTAAAAAAAATATTATGTTTAGTAAAAAATTTAGCGACTGTTGGAGGAGTCCCGTTTTCGTTAGTGGTTTTCAATCTCGTGGAGAGTTAATTTAACTGTTGGCAACACTGCTACTAAGAGATCTACTAGTACGGGTAACAGGAACGCGTCCTAACTTCTCCACTTGTCTTACAGAAAAGTTCGTGCAGTGGACTGACGTTCCTTATACAGTTCACCACACATTAAATTTGTCCCACCTTTTGAAGTCAGCCATTTGCCTCCTTTTGAAGTCGGTTACACCATATTTAATAATAACTTGAGTTTCCTCTGCCTCTTTTCTAATATAGTTAAATATAATAAATAACTAAGTAAAATCGCTAAAATAGGAAAAAAACTGTTTTTTCTTCATTTAATAATTTTTCGTAAAAGATTTTTCTTGTTAAGGTTTTGCCATTCAATAAGAAATGAATTTAAGACTATTATATATTTTAAACCCTATCTAAAAAAATCTTTAGCATGCGAAGAGAAATATTAGAAGGATGGGACCGTTATTGGAGCAACGTTCGCTTTACCTTCCTTTGTTTACGTTTCCTAAAGTAAAATAGTTTATAAGATACTAATTAAACATTATGTATTAGAGAAATTTTGTGAAAAAGGACGGAGATGTGTAGCATGTAGTCAGGAAATAGTTCGCCATTTGGTTTGATGAGTCCGCTTTATAGATGTAAGGCCGGTTTACCACCAATTAAACCAATCCGTTTAAAACGAAAAAAAAACCGTTTAAAACCTTTTTTTCGATTTATAATTTGGCGTTTGGATTTATAGTTAACGTTGATGACTATGGTTTTCTAATTATATTAAAAATTATATAATTATAAATAATCCTGATATTACCAAGGTAGGAATATGACGGAATACCTTAAAACAGTGTAAAGATTTTTATATGTGTGATATACTGATATTGATATACTTAGCGGGTTTAGTTCTAGTTAGTCCGTACGACCAAGCGTAGGTCCTACCTAAATTATTTATTTATTTATTTATTAAAAAAAATTACAGTGTCTTTACAGGATTTATCCCATAACGATACTGTAAGTAAAAACAGTAAGTAACAGTGATTTATACATAAAAATCATTTGCTGTAATACATCTCATAAAAACATCTCATCTGTTATAAAAACTCTCTTGATTACTAGTAAATTACTATTTATTTATTATTTTCAAACGATATAAATAATCAATTTGATTCGGTTTAAAACCAAACTCAAACTCTTGCACTATCGTCGACACCTTCGGCACCGGCGCAAGGGCCTTGAAGACATAACGTTGTCTCTTTCATGCGCAAGTAAAACGGTCGGCATTGTTTTAATGATGTCTTCCAATCTAGTGTGTGTAAAATAATATAAAAAATAAGTATAGGTAGGTATACTTACATATAGATAGTTCAACTCAGTTGTGCGCGCGGCCCTATGTGTGCGTGGGCTTGTAAATATACAACTTTCATTCGTGTGGTAGTCGTCGTCCGAGCACCGCGTCACAACTGAGTTGAACTATCTATACTTAAGTTTTCGTGTAGTAGGTAATGTAGGTAGGTACTTTCTAGTGATTTTTTATAAACTAATTAAAACAAAACATGACGTTAGGTGACCAAAAATTGACCACAATGAAGTTCTTTTATTTCTTAAACACAGTTCTTTTATTTTTGTAGGCGAGATTTCAATAGTTTAAAAACGATTTATTTGGGGTTTAAAACGGCTACATTTTGTATAGAACGTTTTAAATCGTTTTTTTTTACATCTACAGTCCGCTTAGTGCTAAAATTAGAGAGAGATGTTCCATTCTAAACGACTACCAAAAGCCACGATTCTTGTTTTTTGTTCAATGTTCTGTCATGTATTTTTTATTAGTCGATTATATTGTGTATTTAATGTAGATTATTGTATATTTAGTTCTATCACTAGTTAAAAAGAAAATAAAGACGAATTCGGATACATTCTAAACAAATTGAAGTACTTTGTTTACAAAGCTTATTTACCATATTTGCGTTAATTTTAATATGTTTTATTTACATAAATTATTGGCATTTATTTTCTCAATTATTAAATATTTATTTGTAACTATGATCTCTATGGTTAAAACCACGTGTCTGTAATGGTGCCAAGCCAGATCAGAAAAAATTAAAAAAGTAAATATTAAGAAGTAAAAATTTAGTTTATGGTTCATGAATTAGCTTCTCGTAATACGCTACGGTTTTCGATAATGTGTTTGGAAATAAACAATATATTGGGGTTAATTTACTTTTGTTGGTGATTATTTAGGATGTTTAAACCCTAAAAAATGTTTGTGAACTGTGCATTGAGTGCTACAAATATACTACAACGCTTTTGATATTACTATTCCTCGCTGTGCGAAGTGACGCCATTTTACGGGAATGATCAGGCCGCGGCTGCTTCATACTAAGCCTGATGTAAGGATTACTCTGATCAAACGGATGCATGGAAACCAATCTTTATTCTTGCACTCGTGCTGGACGGACGATTTCCGAGGTACTTTTCGTGTATTTATATTATTGTTGATGCGATGATAATTCAAATCATGTTTCGATTTCCTCTTGTTTGAGCGTCTTTTGTTTCCTAGTAGTCAAAAGCACGTGTTTTTATTTTTCCAGAAAACTATGGAAGATGGTAATATTGTCAATGCGAAAGATGATAAAATCACTGCAATTTCATTGACAAATTTATACGGCGAACGCCCTCCAAAATCTACTACGAATGGACACGATTTCGCTGGAGAGCCGTCTAGTCCGCTCGACGAGTCCGACGATCAGTGCCGGCAGCCTGCCGACACTTTAAGTGAAGACAAGTTCAAGAAACGAATAAATCCACTTAGAATACATCTTGGAAAGAGGCCGTTTGTAGATAACTCACTTCAATATTACAATCCAAACAAGAAAAGAAAACCTTCAGTGAATAAAAGTTGTGATAGCACCACTGTCAACTCAGTGCCAAGAGTGCCCAAACTTATACCTAAGCACTTAGACCGTAACCAATTTCATAATGTTTCATCAGCCGAAAGTGATGTTAACAATGAAAGAGACAAACCTGTGCCTCGGCTTGTTCCCAAGAGCCAACTGTTACAGTTTAAAAAGGGTAAAACAGAAAAAGGAGCCCAGTTGAAGGAATATGCCCAGAGTTTAGGTCTACAGCCTATGGTGAAGTTCAAGTGTCGAAAGTGTTGTTCCATGTCATTTAAGACCTTGGCAATGTTGAAAGAACATCAGATAGTTTGTCGTGCTCAAGCAAAAGAGCCTGCATTGAGCCCCGAGGCAGCTCCGTGTCCAAGTGGCACCAACAAAAAAGGACCTTCAAGAGTTACTAGGAAAGTGTACTTGTGCTCTGCATGTGGAAAATATTATGAGAACTGGAATCTCTTTCTACACATGAGAGTAGTACACAATAGGCACATCTGTCTATTTTGTTTAGGAATGTTTTCAAAAGCAGAAAAACTCTCATCACATCTGACAAACAAACACCATGTCAAGCAATTTAACTATGATAGCAAAGAAGAATTCCTTAAGGTTTACAAGGGTTCTTATTATATAATGTGCTGTGTGTGTAATGAAATCTGCAGTGAACAAGATGACTTTTATAATCATGATTGTAATAATGTTAAACCAAAGCCTGTGCCTGTTCTCATTAGTAAAAACGCTGCTAAGACTAACAGTCAGAGATATAAATATTACAATGAAGTTACTACTAATGGGATCACAAGTATAGTGAGAGAAACTACAAAATTAGGTAAAGAAACTGTAAAATCCATTTGTGATAGAAAAGACATTAGTGAGAATAGGCTCGAGACTGTGACGTCTTCAACACACAAGACTGTGTCAGTGGAAACAACAGTTGTTGAACCATTAATTAGTGATACAAGTATTAGTTCAGATAGTTCAGCTCTAAATAGTAAAGATACTACTACAAATACAGTGGACTCAGGGATGGAATTGGAAAGTCCTGACACCAAGTACACGTCAAGTCCAATTCATCAAAACACTTTCAGCCCAGATAGAAATAAACATGATATACCTAATGGTGGTGATGACAGTTTAGAACATTCAGAAGACAGTGATTCACCGGTTTCAGATGAGATCCATGAACCGGTGCAAGAGTCACTGATTACTAAAACTGAGGAAAAAGTTTGTATTCCAGTGGAAAAAGAGGGTGGTATTAAGTTAAAATTAAGCCTAAACAATGCAAAGTCTCCTGTTATAATTAATTCAACAGTTGATCCAACAATTGGGCAACAAAATGTACATAAACCCCCAACTCGTTTTCGCAGACCACCAAAACGATATGAGAAAGATAGTACATCTGAGAAAGAATCTGTGGGGCTGCCTAAAACCCCTTCAATTAAAATGACAATATGTGATAGAGCTGATAGTCCTTTTGTTAAAACCACTATAATTGAAAATAACAAAGAAACCACATTGAAAACTCTACTTAATAATAATGTAGATTCAGTTTTAAAAACACCTGAACCCAAACCTGATAGTTATGTGAAAACAACTATTTATGATAACAAACTAGAAGACCTTAACACATTGAATAGGGTACCAAAATTAACAGTCAGACTACCTAAAGAACTTTTAGATAAAGATTCATCCAGTGAATATTCATCTGATACTGATGATGAAAGTGAAAAATTAACAGTTGATGAAAATAACACAATAACACAAGATGAAAATGATAAATCTATTGAAGAACCACCGGTTGAAGATACTCTGACTGAGTCTACATTGCCACCCCCAGATGTAAATGATGAAACACTACATACATCTGAAGAAAATATCCAAGTAGATGATGATAACATGGATATAGACACAGACATAAAGACTGAACCAACAATAGAACAGGAGAAACCTGCTGAACCAATTATAGAAGAACCTTCTATTCCTGTAACTGAATTATCATTAGATAAACCCTTAGATAAATATCCTCTCAAGGACCTACTAAAAGTTTTCTTATCGTCTACAATTTATAACTGTATATATTGCAACCATGTACGTAAGATTGCAGTAAACTGTGAGCAGCTTGCATTACACATGGTGGCACAGCACCGGTTCAGAGCCACAGTAGACAGTATCACAGCTGAAGAACTGATGCCAGAGACTATCACAACTAAGTTGATCACAAGTGCGCCGGAACTAAACTCTGTGTACATAAACTTGGACTCTTACGACAGTGTAGATAAGTGTGATGATGTACAATATGACTATATGTTTGAATGTTTTCAGTGTTATTTTAAAACTGCTATCCATAAAGATCTCTATTTACATAATCGCAAAATGCATCAAAAAACTATCTTACTGTGTGTGATGTGTAAGTCTAATTTTTATAGTTATAGTGAATTAATATGTCATTTATGCCCTGGAACATATGATTCTGAGTATGAAATTAAGTTTAGATGTTGTTTATGCAATGTAGATGCTATTCCATCTCAGTTTAGATTGATGGTACACTTGCGAAAGATTCACCACACCTGTGACGTATGTTTGGAGTTGTGTCACAATCAGGCGCGTCTTTCTAACCATGTTTGGAAGCATAAACTGCACCATTTATGTTATAGATGTGGTATTGCATACAGGAACAAACCAGACATAACTAACCATTTGTTTTGGAAACATGGTACTGAAAGTGTTATGTGTAAGAAGTGTATGCAGAAAAAGTGGCCCCATGTCTATCACTTCTGCACACCACCAGCAGTTTTTGCTTGTGAAGAATGTAGTTTGCAATTTACAAAGGCTGTGTATTTAAAAGTCCATAAAAGATTTCACTCAGGGGAATATCCACATGTTTGCACAGAAGAAAATTGCACAGAAAAATTTGTATCAAAGAAGCTGCTATCTAAACATTTAGATGATCATAGAAAGAAATTGTTATCAGAGGAGCTGAATGCTGATAAGCACACACATAGTGAAGTATTACCAGAAGAATCTAGAGATCCTATTCCTGTTATTGATTTAGTGAATAACATACCAAAAGAGGTCACTAGATCTTCTGAAATCAAGACTGAGTCTGGTACTGAGCCATTGACTAAAAAGGAAAGGAAGAAGAAATTAAAAGAGAAAGATCCACTTCTGCTTGATGTAAATTTACCAGCATTAAATCTTTCAGAAAGTGATAGTAGTGATGAATCAGACAGTGGTCTTCTACCAGTTACAAAATATCACAAACTTGAAGAGACACTTATGGACACAACGGTACCAAAATTAGAAAGTGAGGACATAAATAATACAGAATGCGAAATGATATCAAAAGTAGAAGTGAAACCTGAGACTTTTGAAGAAAAGCCAAATGACCAACAAGTATTAGACATATGGGATAATTTCAAAAAGTATCAGGCAAAGGTTGAAAAGCATAAAGAAAAGACACCGCCGTTAGTACCAATAAGAAAACATGTCTGTGAATCTGATCACGACTATTGCTTAATACCCACTGACATGAATGGAGATGATGATATATTTAATATTGATAAGAAGAAAAATAAAAAGTCGCCGAAAAAACACCGAGGTGACTTATCGTCGTCCAGCAGTAGCAGTAGTGACAGTGATTCTAGCTGCTCGTGTGGTTCTAATTGTAGCTGTTCCTCTAGCAGTGGATCTTCGTCTTCTAGTTCATCAGATTCTGATTCGTCTGATGAGTCAGGTAATGAAAAGAAAAAGATTAAACGTTTAAAGAAAACGTTACCCAATCGAAGAATAAGCACTGGTTCAAATGTCGATGTGATGGGTATGTCTGAAACTCCCATTTTAATACCTGAGACGACAGAGCCTCCCATTGCAGAGACTGACCTAGAAACAGATGAAAGCGAAACTGATGAAGAATTCTATGATGAGAATCCTCAGCGAATAGCAAACAAATTAAATGAAGAAAAGCGTAATCAGTTAATGGCAGTCCCATCAGTAGGCCCGTCTGATGGTGGTTCAATCTCGGGAGAAGCCAGTCGACCAGCTACACCTATTAAAGAAGAAGAAAAGGAAGTTAAAGAAGAACCAATAGTAGAAGATACAACAATAAAACCACCTAGTGTTAAAAAGAAAAGTAAAAAGAGAAAAAAGTCCAAGAATTCAAAAAAACATGGACCCATAAAAATTAACATTCCTAAAGATATAATTACTAAAACAGAAGTAGAGACGCCCCCGCCCCTTGTCCCTAATAAGATAACAATATCTTTACAATCAAACACAGTACAAATTCCAGAAGCTCCTAAACCGACCCCAAGTATAGCCAATACGAATACCCCAGCGACATCTATAGAAAAGAAACGAGCGTCCAAACGGCGGCGAGTTCCCAATAAATTCTACGGCTACTCCAGTGATGAGGAAGCGCCGCAGACAACTGTATCAGCACTAAAACCGCAACAACCACCTAAACTTGAATGGAGGAAAGAGGATTTGCCATCCCCAGTGACACACAAGGCAAAGAAAGAAGTACCTTCTACTGTAATATCTAACAGATTATATAATTATACTGATCCTATTAGGTTGACAGCTCCTATACCTGATCCTGAGCCACCGCGTATCTTAATGAATTCAGAGTCAATGGAATCGAGCGATTCCGATTGCAGTGACGAAGGAAATTTAGAAATATATCAGCCTAATAGCCAAGGTTCAGTGCCGCCGCCTCCGACGTATTTGAACTCTGGTACCTCCAGCTTACCGTACGCTTTCCAGAGACCCGTAGCGCGAGAGGCGCGCGAAGGTGAGAGTGTCTATTGTTACTGTCGTTGTCCATACGATGAAGTGTCTGAGATGATCGCTTGTGACGCTGAAGGATGCCCCATAGAATGGTTTCACTTTGAGTGTGTCGGTATCATGGTACCGCCTAAAGGCAAATGGTACTGTCCTGAATGTAGGAAAAATCAAAGTTTCTCAGGTTACAGATAACTCTAAAATGTAAGTGTATATAACATTGCTGTATTGTTATTATATAATATCTGTATATAACTTATTGACGATTGTAGATAATTTAGGCTTTACCTGTATATCTTTGTAGGTAGTTTCTGTAAGTTTTAGGTTATTAGGTCTGAAAAAAAAATGTATCATTGTTATAAAAGTACACGTTATGCTTGATACCGGCTGTGCGGCCAATTCTGTAACCTGGCAAATTGTCGTTGACATAGTGGTTGACATTAACCTACTTGCAGCAAACGGAAATATAAATCCGATTTTTGATACCATTTCAACAGTTTTATTTTAGATGTAAATTAGTTACTTGTATGATCGCAAGATAATACCACAAAGGGCATTCGTTTGCGATCAAATTCGAACATGATCATGGTGGGTTGATTCCTGGGTTTACCACATCTTTAACCCTTTGACACCGCCATCGCCGTAATATTACGGGTTTTAAAGATGGTACACCATGCGCCACTCTATATTGCATAATAATCATATTACTTTATAATCCAATAATGATATTATTATTAGTGACGACCCATTATCTGAAAGTTATCCTGAATCGGTAAGTTTTAGGTAAGAACCTCGTAATGAATATTTACCTTCATTAATGGCATTTGATATGGAATCCATTCCACCAGATCATCGATCGCAAGTATACCTACATGAACATTATTAAATTAATACTTAATGTTCTTTAAGGAGGTATAAGTCCGTGTACATCTGTTTTTGTTTTTTTTTTATGCAATAGAGCTGCTGTAACCAGCAGCAGACAAATTATTTTACAACATTACGAAAAATTATACCGCAAGTCTAATAGTATTACTGTACTCTGTGCCCTGCTGGTGCTGGGGTACAGTACAGATATCAAAGCGTGGCGGTGAAAGGGTTAAAAGAAAATCTCGAAATCACAAATCTGTCTAAAGGCAGTAGGTTTACGTCATTCTATTAGCCGTATTCTGTATCCATGTGGTGACGGATTAAGAATACGGTGCGTCACCACCCTTATTCATCCCGTGGGTGTCGTAAGAGCCGACTAAGGGAACAGGAACGTAGGACAACAGCACTGCAAAGAGAAAGAAAACATTAAACAAACCTTAAACTTACCCGTCTGGCCAGCAGGTATAGAGGGTACTATACCTGGTGAATTTGCTATTTGCTTACTTTTACATGAGTGAGTATAAAATAGAATGAAACATCAAAGCCATTATATCACAGTATAATAATTTACTGTTGAAAGAGAAAGTTACGTAATTATCCTACTCTTTTTTGACTATTAGTAACAGCCAAGCTAAAGGGATTGAAAAGTGCGTTGGTTCCATCACTGCATGTGGTCAGTGGAAAATGGTACTTTCCGAAGTCTTTATGGAGGAAGCGAACAAGTAGGGGATACCTGATATTAAAAGGCTTAGCCAAGTTTAAAAGCCTTAGCCACGTTTAAAAGCCTGTGCTGCTTTTTTGACAAGGGGGCAGTAAAGAAAAAGATTATGATTCTTAGGATCTGGTAGTCCAGTGTTCATTGCCGCTTTGGAGCAACTACATCAGGACGTGACCTTCTACAATCCAAAAGTCACAAATTCGTTGTCGTCCTTTGAACACCCTCCTCAACCACCCTCCGGTAACCACAGAGAGCACTCGCCTTTATCTCTAGGAATTTGACTCTAATGTTAACAACTTGCCAGACAGCTAACATACGTTGCCTCGCCGCTTCTATGTTCGAGCGCAACAACCCCGAAGTTTCGGTTTTGGGGTTATATCCAAGGCGGCCATGAACACTGGACCACCAGATCAGATTGCAAGAATCTTAATCTTTTTCTTTACTGTTGCTAACATTTGCTCTCGCTTCGGCCACCCTATGCCTGTAAGCTTAGTTAGTACTTAGCTAATGTAGGTATATTATGTGTGTGTGTGTGGGTGACCGTCGCTACAGCAACATAACATTGCCGCCGCAACACGCTGAATTGGACCTCAAGAATGATGGATAGGATTGAATCGCACGTAAGATGGATCTTCCCAGGTTTCGTCTATGGTCTGATCTGTCTCGGATCTGACCGCCTAGCCGTCGTGGAGATTAAAGCGGCCCCCAACTAAACAAGCGAACCACCAAAAACCTATAAATCTACTCCTAATTAGAGGCAGAGAAGGATGCTATAAGCAGAGGGCTATCACACTGAACCAGCCTCCGCAAGTTCCCTACGGGACGTTGTGAAGACAACTTTGTTTTTAAGAGAATATTAAATTGATAGATAAGAGTCTATACTACCGATGGCTAAACTAACACAATGACCCTTCGCGATGCATCTTTAATACTAAGTACATGTCTTTGGTCATTGAAACAGGCGAGTGTATTGACTCTTTACGTCACAAATAAAGTATATTGTCTATTAATGTAGACAAGGCCTGTAAATCATTTACAGTAAGTATTTGTGTATGAAAAAATTGTATCGGCGTAATTTCACTAAAATATGAACGTATCTTATCTCAGTTCTATTTGTCTTAATAAAGACCAGTGCAGCCAATTTGGTAAGTGTCATTAATATACACAGCAATTCATTTTCTTAGTACAATATTCGCACAAAGCTTACTGCTTAGGTACATACCTACTAGAGTATGTAGTGTTTTCACACACCTGTATGTTAAAGTACCAAGACATGCAAGGCATCCAAGGATCCTTTAACGTTAACTTGCAAGGGAACCGAAATTTAGAATTTAACATATTAACAGTGACAATATAAAAATTTATCAAACACATGACAAAATTAATTTAAATACTACAATATTAGTATATTATACTTTTCTTGTATTTATTTGTTAAGTTACGATCTTTTATTTTACTAACATGATGGCCAACACTTGGGTAAGGTAAGCTCTTCCTGGCGTAACTAGCTGTGTGCATTCTATGTAGGAAACACGCATTATTATAGGTAATTAAGAAATTAAGTACTTATTTCTTTAATATCACACAGATAGATTAAAGGAATAATATTTTACAGTACTAGTATATCATATCATTATCATCGTATTTCAACCTCTCAAGGAGTACATATGCAAAGGACTTAGAAAATATTGTACCAAAAAAGGGAAACCCATAAACGGGTATTTATTGACTCCTTGATAAAATTACAGACATCTAACACACAACGCCATCTAGTTTCATACTAAGCAGATCGTGAATGATTGTGATTATGGGTAGACAATCAACTTGTGACCACGATTTATGTGAATTCTTGAGATGTAACCAAGTTTATACTTCAATGGGTTGATAAAATAGTAGATTAAATTAAAATAAAAAAAAACTGATAAAACTCATATATGAGAAAATGAGTCACCGATAGATTTCTGATCCCCCATTTAGTGAGCATTATCATAGGTACCTAATTATTACAATTACTAATTAGGTACCTATTTTCTAGCTTTGAGCTTACGAAATAACTTTTTGTTTTCGAAAGCTGTCCTTATCTCAAGTTATTCTCTGAAGAAGAGCTCAATAGGTAGAATACGTATCTACTTAGTGCATTCATTGTTGCATAAGTACCTAATATGTATTAGGTCGGTGCTGTATGGTGTAGAAAAGACCAAGAAAATAATAATATAATTATGTAAGATCACTTTTACTACTTTGATAAAAAGGACCATGTTTGTGCCCAGGATGCTTACAAAAGCGGCAAAACTGAGTTGTGTTCTTGTCCTTTCTGCGGTAGCAATTGCAATGGTTTCATACCATAAGCCTGAGCAACTCATATCTTGGTTTAGACCAAGTTATTTTCTGTATTTGCTTTATTCTTCTTGAGAATGTGTATAGTTCCGTATTTACTTCTTATTGGTTTGGTATTCCATATTGTTTTCAACAAAAGTATGTGTGGTGGATCTGCTGCACGGATGGTGAACTGGTTTAAGCGGTAGCCACGCCGCTGCCTACTGCGCTGAGTGTTGTGGGTTCGATCTACACATGGGTCACCACCTTATGTGATCCACAAATTGGTGTTCTGAGTCTGGGCGTTGTGTTCGTTTTATGTATGTTTAAAAACTATCCCGGCACACAGGTTGTATTCCTAGTGCAGTTGTCTTTTTAAAAAGAAAAAAATATATTATGTTCAAAAACCGAAAACGCCCGTCAAACAGCATTTTGTATTTGTCAGGCTTACCCAGATCCGTAGGTAATTCTGAAGTAGGTTTTTAAACTTCTCCAGAGTTTCTAAAAACTTTTACAGCTACCTGTCTTGTATATTCCTAGTTACGTCAATGGTCATTTATAAGGTTTCTTCTTTCTTTTACAGATATAACCAAGGACTATTGATTGCCAAGATTATTTATATCATCAAAAGTAAAATATGACAATTTCTATTCAGCTCAGATCTAAGGATGGATAAAAAATCTTTTATCAGTTTTTGCTATATCTTTCACGCGTAAAACAGAGTACAAGAACACAGCTATGTTTTTCTAAGGGACGAGATGTATATATTTGGCTTTTAGGAAGTGGTTTTCTTTAATTGTGTCCCGGACCGTAAGCATTCTGGGGCAGGTTGAAAGGTTTTTGGAGCTGGCTTGGGCCGACTTGCTCAACTTCTTGAAACAATTTTTGAAATGGATAAAAACAATTTTAAATTCGTATAATGAGCCATGTGAGTACAAAATTGTAAACTAAGTTTTTCAATATAGCTTCCCTGTTTAATTTACACTTTGATTCCTTTAAAAACAAAATTATAGGTGCAGGATCTCCTTAAGAAACAGCTTGATATAAATAGTCAGTACTAATATAATGTTACTATTGATCTTATTTGATATGTTTTTTTTAGTTACATTAGCATACAATTTAGTCAATTAAATTAAAAATTACAAAAACCCCCGACACATATCTTCGATTTGAAATTTGTCGTAGTTTATAGTATTCTACTAGTCAAGCCCTTTCATTTGATACCCATATTGAGGGAGTTGTGAAAAAATATGTAATCCGTCATTTTGTCGGGTTATCCCTTCGGAAGCTACTA